AGCAACATTTGAGAAATCGTATCGTAGCTGCAGCGAACAGAATATCGCAAGAACAGTGCCTGGCTGCTACAAGAGCCGTGTTTGACAGATGCAATGCTTGTATTGCTGCAAGAGGTGCACATTTCGAACAAAATCTTCATTAAAAAGTTTATAAATAAAATAATTAAAATAATAAATTAAATATATTTTTTTCTTTTTTCGTGATTTCCTGCGAAACAAAGCAAAAAGGAGCATATGTCTATAGGACTTTTTTTCTTAGTTTTTTACTCCTCTACACGCTCCCGAAGTTTTGCCATTTAATTTGGAAACACCCTGTATAATATTATACATACTTCTTCGTTCTTCTTAAACTTGAGCGTATTATAATACAAATATATGTATATTTGAGTGCGTTGTTTGTTATGTGACATTTCATTTGGCGGTATACATTTTGAATTAAACGATACAAGTTAAACGATAGCATGGCATTTAGCCAATGTGATCTTCTTACAGCAAGCTTGTTGATTGCTGATGATCCCTCTCTTATTTTTAGATAAAAACAATTATTCTATAAATCAATTGTAGTTTTACTGTTAATCTATAGTTTATGTTATATGTACCATAGATTTTTAGTACTAAGAAATCTATCGTGCGGAAGCTGTACATACAAACATTTACATGCATTCTGCAATATTTTATTTGCTTGTTAATTTTATAACCAAATACTGTGTTTTACAAAAATCAATTTTTAAATCTATTTTTGTGGGGGAGACCACATTACCGCCCCTGTTTCTCTTCGAGCTATTATGCAGCTATTATTCAGAAAAAAAATGTCGATGTGCGAGAAATTGCATAAATAATTCAATTAAATAAAGATATGATTGCAATTAAATCTTTTTATATAATTTTAAAAATTATCTATAATATCTCAGCTTTGTAAAGTTTACGAAATTCTTAAGCGTATCTTTGCTCTCTGATCCAAGTTTGATTCGCGATGACTCAAATATTCTGGGAGAGTAATTAGGATGCTTCAAGTGGGAGTAAGGCTAAGTGGAGCAATTAGCGAAATACTTTGAATTTCGACATGATTTTCCGGATGTCGGGCGCCGAGATGCTCTTGATAGCAATGATAAGTCGGCTGTCGTTATATTATACTATTTTGCTCTCTTGAAGCCAAACTTGGTGAATTACGAGAGGACCTTTTGTATTCTCTTACAAAGTTAAAAACATATTGCGTTGAATACGCGATTTATCCGAAAGGAGATAGAATAGATATCAGTGTTCTACTGCATTTAGAGTAAATTAGAAATCTATTGATTGCTAACGTCTACATGTGCGCGTAGAAAAATAAAATCTCCGTGAAACTTCCGAGTATCGCTGAGGGTTGCATGCCAAGAGAGAGGGCGGTGTCTAGTCCGGTGTACTCAAAATGAGGAGCATCCTCGAGTATCGTAATACTGTTTTTGCTCTCTTGAATCCACGAGATGCAATTAGAGGTTCTCGCTCAAGAAGGGTAACGTAAGAGGGGTGGGCTTGACTTTCTCCTATCATTGCAACCGTGTTTTTCCAATTTTCTACACAGAGAATTCCGTCTTCCGTATCTTTTTGCATTATTCATGCCGGCCTACTTGTACGTGCAGCAGTTTCGGGGTAAATTCTTTTGCTTTCTGATGGTTATTATAGTTCAGCGCACTAATACTGCATCCGTCAAGCGCATCGGTTTACTCGATATAGCTGTGTACCTCCGACTAACAGTGGGCGACACTCGGTTCTTTTGGATTCTCATTTGGATCACTCATTCACGAATCTGAGCTTCGGTACTTCGGCCACCTTAATGATGGCGCTCGCTAATGAGAGAATTCTACCAACAGTAGAATTAAATCGAATTGTTTGAAGAACAATTGAGCTTACACATACAATATAATACAAAATATTCGACGAAGATGGGAATAGAA